ATATTCTATATTTAAAAGAAATTATCACAATTTTTATATTTCATTTTTATAAATAATAAATAATCTCCTAACAAGTATAATTATTGATTGTTCAATCAACATTATCTAAAAACAAATTCGATAAAATATAAAAAAAAGAAATGTTAATATATTAAAATATATATTAAATTGTCTTTAAATTTTAATTATTATTACACTTGCCTTTTCCATTTTGAATTAAAAGGAAAAAATCGGTTTAATTAACAAGTTAAAAGCGACTAAATTCAGTTGGAACAGATTGTATTTATAATTCTGTTACCGTAGAAACGAATCACGTGGAAATTATAAACAATACTAGCAACGCCCTCTGAATTTTAAAAATCTTTCCGGTTGTATTTTTACAAATTTTTAATTTGTGTAAATTTGCATGATATTTTTTTAAAAAAAATTTTAATTTGATAAAATTGAGTAAAAACTCTAAAAGCTTGGTATTAAAAAGTACTAAAATGCCTCCGTATATAAAATATAAATCTGTAAATTTTAAAATTACGGTTTTAATAAAACTCAACTACAGGTAACCCTCGTATAACACGGCACTTATATAGCACGGATTCACTCTAACACGGTTCGAGAATTGAGAACATCCCCGTATAACACGGTGCTTTTATAGCACGGGTTCACTCTAACACGGTTCGGGAATTGGGTAAAACCCTCGTACAACATGAAATGTAATAAAGGGTGTGTTCTTTTATACCTCCGCGTAACTCCGTGCGAGCATTCTAATTGTTTTCGTGGCTATTTTGAATGCTCTTTCAATAATCTATTTAATGGTTAAATTTTACAATTGGGACCCTTCTTTTGCCTCTAAAAGCTCATTTTAGAATTATAGATTCCTCCATCACGATACTATCGATAGTGTGGGCGCCGCCATCTTTCTTTCACCGTCGTTCCTAAATACCCACAAACAGCAGCGCACTCCCGTTGCAGAGCGACCGCTATTAACGAACGCACCCAAAAAACTGTTACCAGTTGACGATGCTCATGCTGAGATCATCATATAGGATGAATAATCCTCTGGTAAAATATTTACTTAAATAATAAATAAGTATTTTACCTATGAAAAAAAATGAATAATAAATCTGATTTAAATAAGGATTTAACAGCATGTTTTTTTAATTTTTGGGAACCTAACTTCCCTTTTCGCACTAGTTATTTGTTTCGTATAACACAGATTCGCATAACAAGGCAATTTTTTGGAACGTAGTTCCCATGTTATACGGAATTACCTGTATTTAATTTGATAAAAATATATTATTTATTATACAGATTTGTACAAAATTGTAATTTCATTTATTTCGTGTAAGCATAATTAAAAACTTCAATATTTAAGAGTTCTACTACAATCATTAATAAAAACAATTTTTATAAAAATTTTTACAAAAAGCAATTTATAATGTAAATTATATAGAATTTAAACTAGAATTTTGCTTTGCTTGTTTGCGTAGAGAAGATGCCTTCCGGGAGAACTTTCAAAGGGAAACGGGCCCCTATTCGGGTGTTAAAACATTATCAACTGTAAATTCACAAACCGAACCTCAAAACCAGATTCATATGATTCCGACTTCTGTGTCTCGTACTTTTGCATTCTCCACGATGCAATATTAGCTGATTCTCGTCTTAAAGATTTTGTTAGGATCGAAGTGATTTGATCAAAACACATCTCTAAGTTTGGCCTTGTACGATAGTTACTATGCATAAAGGTATAAGTTAAACAACTACTGGTATTTCCATAATTATTATTTTTTTCCTGTAATTGAGTTGCAATTTCAAAAAATTGTAACTTCTAAATTCCTACTGTGGGCACGTCTGCTTCTCTGTCTTTTTTTAATCTCGAAAATTGAGTTAAGTCACGTAAAAGCAGTTACTTATTTTTCGTGAATAACTCAGTTAATATATAGTTAATCGGGAAGAAAGTCTTCATTAACTGTATATGAACTTCAAATGCAAACTGCAATTCACAATTATTTCAATTTATTTTCCTCCTAAAAGGGTTAGACAGATAGGTGCGATTATCTCGCTAACAGGAAAACTACGGCGTACAGGAGCAAAAACACTATTAATATGAGGTGGAAATCGTTTTTTCAAATGAAACAAATTAAAAGTATGATTTAAGTTACGGCCTGGCATTCTGACCATGTCACAATAAATAATCTCTCGATTTCCTAATATGTTTTTCTTACTTAATTTATGCAACTAGATAGAAATTTACAAAAACAAAATACTAAATGAGACAAACTACGATAATTTCTTTCTTTTTCTTAAATGTTGGAATCTTAGACACGAACTAAAAGCTTTTAATGCAGTAACATAATACATTTACTAGTAAAGACCATTGATGCACTTTCGTAACATGATGACAAAACAACTCTCAAATCGATCGTTTGCGTCATATTCAAAAATATCTCCTTTTATAGGAGAAGCTAAATTGACTTTACGTAACGAAATATTTTGCATTATAATCGTGGAATAGAAACTTTATCCTAACCTAACATTTTTCGCATTTACTCATTGGATAGATAAAACATGTATTCAGCTGGCACAAAACGTGGTTTGTGCATTGTTTGCCTTCTACGACCAGTCCTCTCATCGTTAGAAATATTTGGAATTAAAATGGTGTATTGCGATTGTAAAAAGCCTGCCAAAACATGGAACTATCTGTCAAAATTATATCCTTTGTACCAAACTGCTATAGAGATATTTATGTGGACTAACATAATACTTTCTGCACAAGAAGTAACAGACAATTTGGTGTGTGTTGGATGGATCCGAATGTCCCCAAACAACAAGATACTCATAAAATTTATTTTAATTACATTTGCTGTTTTTCTAGCTTTTCAATTCAGTTTTTTTAAAAGGAAGAGGATTTACTTTCCTAGAAATAACAGTGGGTACGAAGGAGAAGAAAAAATGGCTGATGATATTCAAATAATTTTTATAGCTGTTCTTACACTTTTCTTTTTTTCAATAATTCCATTTGTTACTGCAATTGACTTATTTCTGTATCCTACTTTAAAGGAAATAACTAATTCCGAGTTTGAACTCGCATTCTGTAATCTGAATATCACATTAATGTGCATTTACGGAATTGGACAATTAGATTATTGTGTTCTTGTTATAGGTGCAGGTGCCGTCATTATCTCAAAGAGATTCAAGAATTTATCTGTTGCAATCGATGAACTGAAAAAAAGACGAAAGTTTTCTAAAGAATAAAATCGAAACTTTGATTGAGACTCATTGGGAATTATGGACTTATTTACAAGAAGTAAACCTAGTTTGTGAAGCATATGTTCCAGCCGCATATTGTTGCGGAGTGTATCGGACAAGTTTCTTCTTCTGCGCAGTTGTTTTCTTTGGACTTGATGATATAATGCGTCTTGCACTTTCTATTATGTTGATAATTCTGGTTGTTGCAACTATGGTTCTATCTTTTCAACTATCTCGTTTCACATCTTTGGTAAGTAAATCACATATATATTTTTTAAAACTAATTTTAAATATGTTTAATTGGATATATGTGAATCCAAATCATTTACCAATGATATTTGTTATTGTTTCTATGACAATCAAAAATTATTGTCTGCTTATATATTAAGGCATTGCTAATTCAGAAACGCAAAATGGTTAAGGGCAAGATATTTTCAGCGTTGAAAAGGGTAAAATAAGTGTTTCGAGAGAAGCTGGTTGAATCAATTAATTCTACCGCTAAAAAAAGCGAAAGATCGAGTTGCATGATCAAAAATTATTTGACGTTAGGCAAGGAAAATGGAGTTAAAAAGAGTTTTACCGAAAGACCGCAAAGCAGATCAAAACTAATGCTTACAGACATGAACAATGCTGCTAGAGTGACTTGGACCAGAAATCACATTACCTGAGGATGGTTTCTGGACAACAGGGTTCAAAGTCACGGATTGGCCAGGCATGTCATCGGATTTGAACTCCGCGGAGAATGTCTGGGACCACTTGTCAGGAAAGTGTGCGCAGATGGAAAGCAATGTGATAACAGCACAGAACTGAAGACTGCAATCATTAAGAAACAGAGAAATTCTTAAAGGTTTTTTTCAAAAGTTGATTATATCGATGACGGACAGAGTTTCCCAAGTAATCGTAAACAAAAGAGAGCATTCCGGTTATTAGCTTTCATAAATAACCTCGGAAATATCATTTTCAGTTTTATATTAATAAGTTGATTATAATATCACGTTAAATCTTATAATTAATGACCAATTCAAGAAATTCATTTCTTCAATAAAATTATTCTATTGTTTGTATTAGAATTTTATACTTTGTACATAAATGTACAAAGACGTTAAAATACATAAAATGAAATTTGGATATCATCCATTTCATCATCTAAAATAAATTTTAAAATCCGAGTGTTGTTACCTTTATTGAACATAACAATTTAATATAATTTTAATATTTAAAATTCTATTAAACTTTTATAGAAGTGCATTATACACTAAAATATGTCATGATGTTTTATTCAATTATATAAAATAAAATTTTGTGCTCTATTTCTAATTAATTTTTCACTTGAATTTGATCTTTTATTCTCTTCTTAATCATAATTGTTAAATAGTGTTATTATTGTTTCTACTAAAATAATTATTAATAGAAATTTTAATATGGTAATTTATAACTACTTTTAATACCGAACAACTCTATTAAACCTTGAAATTATATTTTAAAGGAATCTTAAAGAACAAATTACAACTTACAAATATCAGATAACCAAATAAATAATGTTGAATTTTTGAAATGTGAATAAAAATAATTGCATTTTATGTTTAAAATAATTTTATTCACGAAAAAATCTTTCTGTTTGGTAAACTTCGAAGGTAGCTGTTCATCACGAGTGTTTAAACTTTGATTAAACTCTCACAGCAGATTTGTACACGAGCAGATACAAAGAGTATATGACGAATTATCTTAGGCAAATCGACGAAGTATTTTTGATTTTACAAGAAAACGCCCAATTACACATTACATAAATTACGAAAACGAAAACAATGCAAATGGGATGGAAATTGCTACTTCATCATTCCTATTCTGTTTACTTATAATCGTCGAATTAACTTTTTCATATCTTTTTAAATATTTGGACAAACATATGCATAGAAAACAATTTACAAATCACGCAGCTAAAAAAGAAAAACTTCAATTTTTAATACAAAAAATGGTATTTTCAAATTGGCCTCCCATAAGGAAGATATAATTAAACGTAAAGGTAAATATTTTAAAAAAGAAAACTATTTTAAACAAAAAATACAAGCATTTTATTTACATTTTAAAAACGACATTATTTATTTCGTTACCTGATAATAATTCATAACATCGTAATTCTTCCGTAAATATATTTCGGAAGAAAAATGAAACTGATAAATATAATTATGAGCATATCCAGAAATTTATTTTCTAATTGTAATTAAAAACAAAACCTAACTGTGAATAATGTGAAGCTCGAATACGAAAGAAATTTCTTAAAACTGGGTCGTTGGTGCCAAATAGAAAGAAATCACGGAAAATAAAAATAAAGTTTTTCTTCGTAATTTGTGTTAAATTAGAATCTTGTAAAATATCATGTAAAACAAAATATGTATTAAAATATAAATTTTCGTCTATAATAACGTATCTTCTATTACCAGGACTTATTATACTGGCACTACAGAAAATATTACAAAGTTTTACAAAGAAACATTTTTTATTTTACAAAGTTTTACAGAGAAACATTTTTTATTTTACAAAGTTTTACAGAGAAACATTTTTTATTTTACAAAGTTTTACAGAGAAACATTTTTTATTTTACAAAGTTTTACAGAGAAACATTTTTTATTTTACAAAGTTTTACAGAGAAACATTTTTTATTTTACAAAGTTTTACAGAGAAACATTTTTTATTTTACAAAGTTTTACAGAGAAACATTTTTTATTTTACAAAGTTTTACAGAGAAACATTTTTTATTTTACAAAGTTTTACAGAGAAACATTTTTTATTTTACAAAGTTTTACAGAGAAACATTTTTTATTTTACAAAGTTTTACAGAGAAACATTTTTTATTTTACAAAGTTTTACAGAGAAACATTTTTTATTTTACAAAGTTTTACAGAGAAACATTTTTTATTTTACAAAGTTTTACAGAGAAACATTTTTTATTTTACAAAGTTTTACAGAGAAACATTTTTTATTTTACAAAGTTTTACAGAGAAACATTTTTTATTTTACAAAGTTTTACAGAGAAACATTTTTTATTTTACAAAGTTTTACAGAGAAACATTTTTTATTTTACAAAGTTTTACAGAGAAACATTTTTTATTTTACAAAGTTTTACAGAGAAACATTTTTTATTTTACAAAGTTTTACAGAGAAACATTTTTTATTTTACAAAGTTTTACAGAGAAACATTTTTTATTTTACAAAGTTTTACAGAGAAACATTTTTTATTTTACAAAGTTTTACAGAGAAACATTTTTTATTTTACAAAGTTTTACAGAGAAACATTTTTTATTTTACAAAGTTTTACAGAGAAACATTTTTTATTTTACAAAGTTTTACAGAGAAACATTTTTNAAAAAAATAACTGTAGTAAGAAAAACAAATGAAAAATGCGAACTAATGTAACGTCGTATGGTGAGTTTTTGTTCGTATCGTGGAGCAAAAATATGTTCGAATTTCATGTCGTATCCTGAAAATTTCGTATGCTGGGGCGTTCGTAACCTGAGGTACCACTGTATATACCAATTTTAGAATTTTTGTTTATGATAATTATTTTAATTTGTCAAGATGTACGGAAAATTCATCGAAATCGATAAATTGTGTTCTGCTGATTTACCGTTAGAAACCAAAATGAAGGTAATTCAAATATATTCGAATTCTTTGTTTCGGTCTATAAGTTTAATATTATTAAACTTTTTTTCTTTAAAAGATGCTGAACTTTATGAAAAGATACGGTAAAACTCCATTTGGAGTAAGCATCGGCGGATTCTTTTATGTTAAAAAGAACTTCTTTATTCGAGTAAGTTCGTTTAATATATTCCGTTTGACTTTATGAAACTTGTAAAAACATCTATTATAACTGCGTGTATAGTTTACAAATCTATTTTATTCGATGAATTTCAGTAAATATATAACTCTCTTTAGGTATATGTCTTATGAACTAAGTCTCTAAGTGATTAATACAGCATTTTTTATAATGCCTAGCCATTACGAATAATGACTAAAATGTGTGTGCTGTCCAATAAATATTGATTAATTTATTAAATTAACCAGACATTATTAATACGCTACATTTTTGGGGGCAATTTGATTAAAAATCTCCACTTTTTTCATTACGAATTATTTATTTTTGCGAATTATTTCAAAGTGTTTTAAAAACAGCTCGTAATTTTTTAAAAGTATTACAGTATTAACTGTATTAATTAAACTCATATTAACGAAAGTATTATTAACAAATTTTTATATCAATCAAAATATGAACTTTAAAGGAAACTTCTGAAAATTCACTTTTGGTATAAATTACATAAATATTAAATGTTTTTTCAGTTTATTTATTCGACCAATTACGATTTTGATGATATTTGGAATTACATAATTTTCTTTGTAGCATTTGCATCTATTGTATTAGATTTGTAAGTAATTTTGCAGCAGTATCGACTATAGCTTTGGCCTCCAGAAATTGATGGCATTCTTGCACATTCTCTAAGAGAAATTTTTGCTCCCTGAACATCTCCAACAAAAATAAAGTTTTATTTACAAACAGTAAATTTGTTTCTGGTAATATTAAATCTATTTAATATGCCATGTTAGATACCCAATTTGTAAAGGGCACTTCAAACGACACCCTAAAATATTTTTTTCATTATTGCGGGCTCGATTTACATCTGGTACACGAATCCTTACTGTATCATCAACAGTAGTTGCTAGGTATTTGGAATTCGATGTATTAAATCAGTTATATTGCTATGTGAGGGTGAATTATAAAATAATCTTTTACTTTGGACGGTACCTCATCTTTCAGAGTGCACAAGTTTGACTTGCTTCGTCCTTAGTTTTAAGAAGAGTCTCTAGATCTTCCTCCTTATCATCGTTGGTCAACGATTCATTCGGTATAAAATTCTTTGGTCCAATTTTTAACTTTGTTTCAAACATGGCCTGATAGGGACTGAAGTTTATACTTGTGTGATGCGCTGGATTTTTCATCAGTTGTACAAAACGTAGCCTAATTTTTTCGACCATTTGTTAGTGTTGTTAGTCTCCAACCAAGAACTAAACATATTTTCTACGTCTTGATTACATCTTTCAATTGAACCCTAACTTTGTGAGTGTGTGGGTTTTCCTGTACAATTGTCAACTCGAGCCATTTTTTATGACATTATTGGCGAATTCTCTGTCGTTATCGCTTTGCAAAACACTTGGTACACCAAATTCCGGATTAATCAAAAACCTGTATTAATCACTTAGTCCATAACCTATACAGTATAATAATTTTTACACATTGTTTTACAGTTTTTGAGTGCCTTATATTCATCGCTGTCTGTGTTAACAGAACTTTTAATAGCAAAGAAACCACCTTCTTGTAAAGTACAGATAAGAGATCTCATTCAATAAAGCTATTGAATTAAATTGTCTCACGGGCTGATTTGAAAGTGTGAATACAGAAGACTTAATACAAGGAAATGAGGTATTTTTGTGTTCGAAAAAAGAAATCGACTGTAGACTTATCAGAAAAATTGAAATCTCAACGAAGTCAAAAAGAAAATACTCCTTACGAAACTTCAAGATTTGACTGTCGATTCTTTCGTAGAAAGTTAAGACATCCGTTCGAGAATAAATTTTTGTGTCAGTAAATTTATAAAATGTATTTAAGTTTACTTTTTAATTTTATGTTATTATCACTTTTTATTAATTTGTTCTAATGTAGTTATAATTATTACTTAGTTGTTTATTATATATTAAAAATACTAGCCTACTTACGGGTTAATTAACACGCACACACAGACACAAACACTTATAAGGGAAGGTAGGGCAAGATGAGAGCGTTAAGGTTTGAAAAGTCATAAGATGGCAACCACTTTGATGAGAACAATAATTTTTTTATTCTCAGCAACTACAACATTTGGTAACATATAATACAAAATTTAATTTTTGAGAAAGTTTAATATTTTAAAATTATATGTAAATGCACCATCTTGCCCCACCCATGGGGTATGATGGGAATATTATTTTTATATATAAGGACAAATTATAATGGTTAAACTGTCGTTTTCTTTAATATTGGCACAAGAACAGTTTGCCCATTTATCGCAACTGCTACATTTAGCCCAACTATCTGTAGATACAGAGTATAACCCTTCACAATAGAAGCATTCTGTGTCATTGGTCTTTTGTTTCTTGTTAGGCCTATCCTTGCTGAAGGGGTTTGTTTGTCGTCTCTGCAGCAATAAAGTCTGCCTCCGAAAATACTTCTGGATTCATAGGCTATATTCATGGTCAACCTGGGGCTAGACGAGTACCCCATCTTGCTCCAACGTACACTTTACATATTGACTGCAAACACAGGTAAACTTCATTTCAAAACTAAACAATTACAGTCTTAAAGGTTACTTCGAATACCATAATATCTTCATCTAAAAGGTAATGTAAAAGTTCACAATGATCGTTACTTTATAGAAACTTTTTAGCAGGCGTAAAATTAGATGAAGCATTGCTGAAACATGAATAACGTGTCTTACTTCCAAACAAAGAGAGCAATTTGGACGTTCTCTCGCTCCATGATCCCTTTCGAAGTAAATATTTAGTTCCCCAAATAACAGCTAGATAAAAGCACATTAACCACAAATAAACAGACGTCCCCGTCTTACTCCATGACCGCATCTTGCATCATCTTTCCCTATATATATATATATATTTATATTTATATTTAGACTATTCTCTTGCACGCTAAAAGGCATGGAAANGATAGCTGTCTTTATTGTCGAATTTCCGAATATGCTTTAATTACTTTAGACATTGTGTTCTTTGATAGTTTTATTTGAATGTATGCTTCCAATAGAATAAATTTGACTTTGTTCAAAATATGTTCGTTACACTCGATTGGTTTTTTTATGTTTTAGGGCGCAATGTTAAATAGTTCAAGTGAATGATAATATATTTATATTTATATTTATGATATTCTCTTGCACGCTAAAAGGCATGGAAATCTTTTATATAATATCTACTTTATACAATCGCGTCTTGCCTTTATTTTCGCGTTTAATGTTTTCGGGTCTTAATGTAATATCGCTCTTTTTGTACATTACCACGCTAGATACGTTGTCGGGTTTAAATTGACTACATGCGTTTGTCTGTGCTATCACATTTTTATGTATTATTGTGCTAAACATTCACACTTTTTGCACATAATCGCATTATCGTGCCATTCTTTTACTGCTCATCATCACGCCATTACATCATTTCTCGTATCTACAAAAAGAATGAATATACTTCACGCAGAATTTAGCGGAGAGATTTCACAAATTAACATATGCATATCACGAATACAGAAACACTTTGCAACTATTGCGGGTTAATTTTACACAAGTATTGGACGTAGAAAAAGCCAACGGGCAAATTGCACAACGGAAAAACTCATCCTAAGAAGATCGAACAGATTACACAAACGATCAGAAGGATTACATCTTCAACGTGTGGCGTGGCAAGAAATATTTCTCATTATGCAGAATTGAGAGAAAGAATCCCACAATTTAACGGAACGATTTCGAGTAATTAAGGACAAATTAGTAGCGAGGTTGAGGCCGAAGTTTTAAACGCAAAAACGTGTATGGCGGACGTTCAGCGCCGCTTTCCTGTAAGCCTAGAAGTTTGACAATGGTGTTTGGATAGTCAGTGGAATCATGCTCGACATTCTAAACACCATTGTGAAACTTTTAGGCTTACAGGGAAACGACGCTGAACGTCCAACGTACACGTTTTCGCGTTTAAAACTTCGGCTTCAACCTCTCTAATGTGTGTAGATTAGATTGTTGCTCATGCGAAAAAGACTGTTTTTTACTTTTACGGCTCTGTTTACAGTCGACCCCCCCATTACCCGGTTGGTTCGTTTCGTTTTTTTTATGAAATTCATGTTGTAAGAGTCCTTAATTAAATATATGAGCCAATCATAGCCCGGCACGTATGCAGTTTACGGACTACGGTTGTTTGAAAGGTTTTCTTCCATAAAATTAATCGATTCTAGACTAATTTGACTCAACATTTCCAAAACAAGTATAATTTTTTGGGAATAATCCATATAAACCAGTGGTTCTCAACTGGGGGTACGAGCATAAATCGAAGGGGTACATCTAACTTTCATTATAAAATGGTGTATGATAATCAATTTGCTGTAAATTATTAACACAAGAAACAACAAAAACTTTCTTTAAAATATCCCAGTGTAAACACTGATTTCTCTTTTAACAGTCTAAACAACTTGTTTCTCCACTTGATTTGCCTGTCTATTTGTGCTGTTAGTGCCAAGTGAACCTGTAGTCTAGTAAAATTACAGAGTAACTGAGCATTAACTTTAGAATAGAAAAAAAAAAAATTGTATTTTATAATTATTGCTTGATAAGTTTGGGGCTTTTCGTGTTTTTACTGGACTACTGGTATTAGGAATAACGAGGCCTGGATCGTACCCCCACCATGCAATGCATGTCACTGCATGCACATATTACTTAATACTTAGCAAATTTAGACGTTACATTTGCTACAAAAATTGAAATATTTATGTATTGTTATGCACATTATAAATTCGCAGCCATTACTTTCAAGGTCAGTACACAATTATAATCTCTATTTAACAACGTGGGAACCAAATTTTGAAAAAATTGCTGAAGATTTTTTATCGCAACAATTATCACATAAAATTTTGTTAGAAATTATTGTAGAATAAATTTTCTTTATTGTTAATTATAATTATTTATTTTTAGGGAATGTAATTTATGCATGTATTGAAATGACTTCTGTGATTTTATATAATATACAGTCGACCTTCCTATAACGCGGTAGATACGTTCTGCTTTATAAGAATTTTGCGTTGTAGGAATCCTTAAATACCTGAGTGAATCACAGCCTGGCACGTGTGCAGTTTACGAACTATGGCTGTTTGAAAAGTTTTCTTCCATAAAATTAATCGATTCTAGACTAATTTGACTCAACATTTCCAAAACAAGTATAATTTTTTGGGAATAATCCATATAAACTATGCTATAAACAAAAAATTGTAGGATTACTTACCGAGTGTGCACCGTTCGACGATGCCATTGATTAAGCTTGTTTTCGTTGCTGAGCAGCGCACCAAACGGCGGGCGTGTTTTCTGATAAGTTATTTTTCTGCGAAAAATTCGTTGAACTTTGAAGACATCATTAATAGAAATAATTTTTATGGTCGTTGAATAAGAAATGTTTATTCCACAAGAAATGTATAAAATTACAGTACTGTATTAGACTTACAGTACCTAATTTAGGTCTATATACTGTACAAACGATAGTAAACTCAACTTACCCGCCTAAACTCTCTGCAGCGTGTAAGTAGTTCGGCTGCTCGTCCACTATTGGTCCAGATTCGACCAATCTTGTCGCGACATGAGTCGGTGATGACGTTTTACCGCATTTTACGAGTCTCTGTTAGCGTCTTTATACGAATACAGTCGCAATTTTTTCGCCGCGATATACGAATCTGCATTATATGAACCCGCGTTATAGGGAGTCTACTGTACTTATCAAATAATAATAAATACATGTATGTACCTGATTAAATTTTTTATTATTTACACAAAATAAGTAATCCACTTTTAGTTATAGTTAGTTAGAGTATTTTTATGGCACTCAGTTATAAGGGCTGTATACATCTAACGCAGTAATTATAAAATTCACATACAAAAATATAAGGGATACTTGAGAAACAATTAATGGACTAATAGGGTACATCAACAAAAAAGGTTGAGAACCACTGGGTTAATTGATACATAAGAATATGCACACACACTTTCATATATATTTTATATATAAACTGTATGTAGTGTTTAAAGTTAATGTAAATTATGACATAGATGAGTTATCTTCCTAATAAATTGTGACGGTAACATTCGGATGTTACGTCACGATTTATTAGGATTAGATTTCATTAATAAAAGTGAAGAAAGTTAAATAAAAACTTCACCTAGTATTTTTTGTTTTTTTATGCTTTCCACATTCATTATACTCTTTACATATATTGTACTGTACAGTACATGTTTCATGCATCCATTTTTGCACGTCGTATATCGAATCAAATCGGCTTTACTTGTTTCGATTTTGTAACTTAATTATATGATAAACAGGTGTTTTTTTCATTTTAAGTACAGTACATAGTAAAAGGCACCATGAGGAAAGACGAATATGAAGAAGTCTTGCAAAATCGGTTGCTGCCGCAGGTTTTTATGAAAGATGGCGCTCCCTGCCAAACAGCCAGGTCTGCAAAAACATATCTACAAAAGCAAAATATCCCTCTGTTGGATTGGCCGGGAAATAGTTCCGACATGAACTTATAGAAAATGTGTGGGAGCTCATGAAGAGAGGAAGTGACCAAACAGGTCATCACAACCGTAATGCAGCTTTAAAAAAAAATCATCATGTGTGGAGTCATCATCCATACATACAGGAGATGGTCCTGTCTTGCATCCACAGCATGCCGTGCCGGATTAAGGCTTTCCTAGCTGCAAAAGGTGGCAAAACAAAATA